ACCTCCGTGATGCCTCCGACGTTTAACCCCGTCTCCGTTCCACTTCGTTTCCGCGTTCTCCTCCGTTTCTCCTCTCCACCCCCCTGCTTTCTTTCTCCACCTTTCCGACGATTCACCGCCGCTCATTCCCGACGGTAACATTCAATTTGCCAGTCTCCTTGTTATCCGAACGCGATGCTCCTTCTCCTTGCCGATTATTTCGGAGGCGCCAAGAAATTTTTACGTCGCTCGCTAATAAAAGGATTTTGCGACCAAAGTGGGCTTGTTATGTGTTCTACGCAATGGCTTTTTTCACATTGAAATTTTATTGTTAGATTCTCGCGTTGTTATTGTTGGGAGATACTTTTGTAATTTGCAGGTTTGATAAGTGCACAAGGAAAGAAGTTTAGTTGAATGTATGACAATGAGCCAAACAAGTTTTCGTCGAAAGAAACAGAATTTCTGGCTCTTATAAGCCAAATTCTGTTCTAAAAAATAAACAATTTATAAACCATAAATAAAACAGTGATGAAAACAGAATTTCTAGTTTTAGAGCCAAATTTGAATTTGATAAATACATGGAGAGAAAAGTTAGGTTAAATTAATCTGATAATAAATTAATCTGATAATGAACGAAACAAACGCGTTCTAGGTAAAAGAAACAAAATTTCTGGTTCTTATAAATCAATTCTATAAGAACGCGCTTTGATTGAAAGAAACAGAATTTCTGATTCTTGTGAACCAGATTCAGTTCTAAGAACGCGTTTACGTTGAAGGAATTAAGATTTCTGATTCTTGTGAACCAGATACGGTTTTAAGAACGCGCTTTGGTTGGAGGAACCAGAATTTCTTATTCTTATGCACTAAATTCATTTCCTAAGAATTCTCTTTCCTTTATTGTTACGTTTATTAGCAACAAAATTTCTGATTCTTAAAACTGAATTGATTCATAACTATAAATCCTGTTTCCTTCCGCCGAAACGTATTTGATTCGTTCATTGTCAGAGAAATTCAATCAAAATTCCTGTTTCCCCTCGTAGAATGATAACTTATCTTAAAGATCTATGAAAATATTTACACAACTCCAGTTAAGGTATTCTATATCCTTCTATATTCTTCAATTCCCGTTGAATCACGCAGCATTAATGGTCACGTTTGATTCGAACATACCGAAGTAGCCGTAATTACGCGCAACCCGCGCGCGAACAATTATCTCGAGGCCGCTGTCGGCTACTGGCGAGGATTTAAAACCGATTGCTCAGCGTTATTTGTCCGAAATAAGCGTTCGGGCCGTTGAGGCGAGAAGCAAGATTCATCGGCCCGTCAATGGACGTTCTCGCGGTACTCACCTCTCGCCGCCCCGCGAGGTAAATTCGTCACGGGCGCGCGCGGTGGGCCTTATATCCGGCGGGTCTCGGGCCGGGGGACTGAATAATTCATAAACCGGGACCGATAGCATCGGCTCTTAACGCAATAGACTTAAGCGAGCTGCCAACAGCAGCCATGTTACAATAAAGAAATCAACATGGCTGAGACGTCTTGGCAAGCCAGAACGTCCCCTCCGACGTTTCTCTTCCCTCCTTAGGTCCACCTCGGTGGAGCACCGCGTCACGTAGCTCCGCTCACTCGCTCGCTCACTTTCGATTTCGCCCCACGGGCTCGTTACCCTCTTGATGCCAATGGAAGGGTGGACCCCGTCTCTCACCCTCCGATCTTTCGCCGACCCTCTTCTTGCCCCCTTTTCTTAGCCAACGCCACTCTCAGGGGTGGACCTATCCAGACCCGCCCAGAGCGACATTTCTGCAACCCTCCTTTTGGAGCAGAAATCGAGAAAGACAGGGAGGAAGAAAGAGGGAGAGGGAGGAGGGCGAGGAAAGAGAGAGAGAGAGAGAGGGAAAGTCTTGGCAGCCACTTTTCTCGCCCTCCGCATGATCGCACCCCGCCAAAGGAACTCCATTTTCTACCGAACTCTCTCTCCCTCTCTCTCTTCTCGCTCGACTTTTTCCTCACATTCACTTTTCCTGACTTACTCCTGTCTGCGTCCTGCGCACTCCGGCTGATTTCCCGCGGTTAGATTTTCGCAGTTGACCGCTCTTTCGCGCGGGGGGAGAGAGTTAAGAGGGGAGGGTCAAAATCGCATAACCACCCTTCTTAGGACGAAACTCGTCTAACTCGGCCGAAAGTACCAATGGCAACTTCGGGAACACAGTAACGCCGTTACATTTGTCGAGAGAAATCTGTCAGACCAATCGCGTAGTTATGTTTCCGATTTCGAGACCGGCTAGAAATTTCTCATGGCTGATTACAAGCGTACGAGCATATATGTGACAGTTATCCGAGTTCCGTGCTGACAGAAGGTGGAAAGCGAATGCAGGGTGAGTAATCAGCTTTTATGAATTGAAATAATAATTTACTTAGTGAAAACTCCAATGATATCCAATAAAAATAAAGTGTAAGGAGTCTTTAACACGTATGCTATTACATTTTACTTAGAGGAATCTTTCTATAGTCCATCCCGTGTTTTTTCTTTTACATAATTGTATAAAATAGACTTAACTTGATAATGTGTGCATACAGAAAAAATTTTACCATTACATATATATGAGGCTAGTAAGAAACGTGTTTAGTTCCTGTACATGGATTTTGTAGTACAATGTAATCAAACAAGAAGACGATGATATTTTAATTTCTTGTGAGTCAAAAAATTTATTTTTTTTTACAACTTAACATTTTTTAATTGTTACTATATTTGTATATACAGGGTGTCTCACACTCTCCTCCGGGCATTTTGTGGGAACGTAGAACAGGTTGCGGTGAATATAAAAGTCCTATACAGTTTTACGATATTTGCAATAATTATCAAGATATTAATTGTAAAAAATTTGCGAATGATTATGTAGAATATGGAAAATAAGTTATAGTAGCGACGACTGTCGTCGTGTACTTATACTTTAGGTCAAATTGAACAAAAAAGTCCTCTACCATTTTGCAAATAATCACATAGATTTTTAATTATTAATTAAAGAAGATGAGTGCATTATCACGCAAAATCGTGCAATAACCTTCTTTAATTTATAATTAAAAATTTATGTGATTATTTGGAAAATGGTAGAGGACTTTTTTGTTTAATTTGACCTAAAATATAAGTACACGACGGCAGTCGTCGCTACTATAACTCATTTACCATATTCTACATAATCATTCGCAAATTTTCTACAATTAATATCTCGATAATTTTTGCGAACATTGCAAAACGATATAGGACTTTTATGTTCACCTCAATCTATTCTACGTTCCCACAAAATGCCCA